TCAACTCTTAGTTTTTTGTGATATAATACTAATACTTTAGTATAGTTTTTGATATACAGTAACTTACCACTTTTTTTCATACACTGTATTATAATTAATAAAAGAAGGGAAGAAAAGCAAGACTCCTTTGATAGACACACAGTACACTAAATCTAGAATAGAAACCAGACAGACATTCAGTGCATGTAAACTATCAATAGTAATAGAAATAAAACATGATTATGTAATGTGTATGCTATAGTAATGGCACTGTCATAAATGAACTTTTAAATTTTGAATTATATCAGAACTATTGCCAGAATAAACTATTTTGTTTTGTATTAGGCACAAATCTTGCAATGGAATCCAGTCACTTTTGTGTTTCCAGTAATTGTTTTCAAACTTAAGTTGTTGTAACTCTGGTAAGTCAGCCTCAAATATTGGGTTTAATCCGGTTTTTAGTATCCGACAGTTCTTTATGTAGATACGTGTCAAGTGGTGAAATCTAATTGGTTCAATGTTTGAATCATCTGGATCAATGTCAATATCACTCAAAACAAGTGATTCCAGAGAATTTGACTGCGATTCTAATAATTCAAACACTGATCTCATGCTGACAGTAACGTGTTTTAGAGTAAATGTCTTTAGTTGGCGTTGAGACCGTACGAGTTTTTGTAATCCATGATTCCTTGATCCCAGTTTAAAGTAACAGCTCCTGCGACATTTGACTGAAATCGATTTCAAATTACGTGCAGCTCTAGAAAGCGCGCTGAATATGTTATCATCTAAATCTAAATACCAACTTAAATTTTGCACACGAGAGAGGTTGTTAATAGACAATAGAAATCGACTCTGATCAATGTAAGCCGAGTTTTCCGTTCTAAGAGAAAGGGTGTTGAGATTTGGGCAATATTTCATTGCTAAACGAGTGATTCCAACTCGCATATAATATAAATGAAACGAATTGTATCCAGTGCATTGTCTCGTCAAAATTTCAATCTCTTTAAACCGAATTTCCTTTAAGTAAAGACTATAATCAAACGGAAACCTTTTACTATATCTTTTGCACAGTCGTGCCTCCATGAGGGAGTTAATATCAGTGTCAGTAAAACATCTGATAAATGTGATCATAAGGTTCTTTGACGGTCCATCGATCGTTCTCCTTCCACTTGAAAGCAACAAGGTAAAAGGTTTGGCCCACAAGTATTGAAGAGCCACCACACACCAATTTCTGTTTACTAACATGCAGGAGTGAAGTGTCGAGAGATCGTCTGCATGCTCCTCAAAAATCATCGCAAGAAGCTCGTGAGACAAAAAGGCCATGTTCATACAAAGTGACAAAGTACAGCATGGTAAACTTCTGCTGGTAAAACGTATTCATGAGCTATTTTTGGGATATTATAGCCAATCACATGATGAATCAACAATAGTAGCACAAAGTTGAACCTATTTCACTTCTAACACAAAGTCACACTTTAACTTACTATTACTGTACATATTACAGTAGTATTAGACTGAATAGTGTTATTTACAATGACGTAATAGGATGACTGTGTCTGATACGGATCTTCTCCATATCAATATATCCGTGTTACTTACTCATGCAGATATGAAAGGTGTATAAACAAGTTCATTGGTACATGTCATTTAATTGGTTGAAATTTCACGTGGTGCATTTATGGACGTGATACAACTGTATTACACGATATGTAATTCTGTGTCAATTATGTATACCCGGGTATTTTTTTAGGTACTCATGTAAGGAGGTATGGTGGGGAACACATATACACATCAAATTGTTTCAATTTTCAAGGGGAAATCATTACTGAAAATGTCAATGATCAACAATAGTAATTTTATTAATTTTTATTCAAAAA